AAATCGCGTTTGTTCTCCGCGATGTTCTCCGGGTAGCATGTCTAGAACTGAATCGAAATCTGCACGTAAAAATGCTTGTTCAGCAGTGATAGAAAAGATGATCTCACTCGCTAGTCATTAAGAAATAGCACAGGTAGTCAGGTAGACCAGGTACTGCAGACAACGTGGATGTACGTAATTATGTAAATACTGATTCTGACGATGTACTAAGTAAGCTCAACATCGACGGTTTGAAAACGTGTGAAGGGCGTTCGTCACTTAATCCGAATGGGAATATTGTGACGCGAAACCCTACAAACAAAAAGACAGTCCAAATAACTAGAAATCTTGTTGCCTGTGGCTGGACCACCCAGTGATGAACGCCCTTCACACGTTTTCAAACCGTCGATGTTGAGCTTACTTTTATATAGTACATCATCAGAGTCAGTATTTACATCCATGCATGTTAATTGTTTGCAGTATCCTGTGCTATTTCCTGACGACTGGCCAGTGAGATCATCTTTTGTATCGCTGCTGAATAAGAAAAAATAGCCACGAAGTTCAACAGTTCAAGATTAGAAAGCTGTCAAGATTAGAATGTTGATAAGTATCAAGTATCACTGTCTTGGTATTGACCAATCAGGTGATCGTATTTACCGTTCAGAATCTGAACGGCGTGTAGTCATGAAAGGTGGGCTTTCCTGCAGGCCCTCTTTCCTCCCCCGGAGCCCGCCAAAATCCTGCCCGCTGCAAACAGCCCCCCATAAAATCGAGGGCCTGCCACGCAGGCTACGTTTTTTGAGAACTAGTGATTCAAACAGAACAAACTCGAAAATGTGTTTCAATATTTAATAAATATTTGTTTACTTTTGTGTATATATTTCTTAACATATGGTTAAAAATAACTAATAATGGTTCACAAAAAAACATTAAAACGAAACTTTATTCACTGGGGTGAAGAAATGCGCTATAAAGACGACGATAAAACGTGAACACATTCAGGCAATAATCGGGCATTATTTCAATGGGCATTCAATGCCAAATGTCAACAGTCATCTTCGATTTGGATTCTTGGGCATCTTAATATAAACAGATTCTTCAAAACGTTTGTTCTGATGAACTTAAAAGTTGTGGATGTAAGTATTTTTCTATCATTGAATGATTGATTCTAGTATACAATAACTCAAAACCAACACAGAAAAATTCATAATTAGTAATTATTGCAAATTTGCAATATTATGATATCAAGAGATCAATTTTCTCTACCCAATTTTGGTACAGATATCAATACATTACTTCTTGCTTCATTGTTATAATTTTACTATTTTAATGCTTCTTGGTATTAATATTAATGATTTTGTTTCTGTACTGCACTTTAGGTACTGTAATTACAGTCATGTCAAGGTGTACCAAGTTTGAGAGCTTGTTTTGGGCCGAATACGTTTACCGAGTGTACCACTGCAGCAATAGGACAAGAATACAGTTTCAGACAATGTTATCTTACAAAATCATGAATTTGGTATCGACAATTGATTGTATACAAAAAACCGTGGTAAATGTTGGTTTGCATGTTCCTTTGGTAAGCACGATGAGTGCAGTGTGCATCTTTAAACATCCTTGTTACCAGCAAGAGGGTTCGGCAAAGAAAACTATGGAAAGTTTAGCTATACCAATAGAGTTATTTAAGTTAACACACAGGAACATCTTTTAAACCAAACATCAAACTGCAGGAAAAACTAAGTTTGCTCTTAAAAGACAAGAAACAGGTCAGAAAGTTGAACCGCCAGACATCTGAAAAAAACAACAGACGTCGACAGGTGCAGCAGCTCCAAAAGAAAACCGAGAGAAAAAGCTCTATGAGAAGCAGAAGGGACAACCTATTCCTCCCAAAGGTCCAGTAAGGAAATCCGTCCGTAAATTCGTTGGTACATGCATGTTATACTAGCAAATCAGTTGCTGTACATACAAACCTGCATACTCTCTGTATGCATAACTTTTTGTGTGGAAGTTGGTGACGTCATGCTGGATTTTCTTAATACAATCGGGCGATAAAAACATGCATTTTCCCCCTAATATTCCTTCTTTCTCACTTTATATGTAATTTTCTTAAGACATTCGCACGGAGCAATTGATAAAACTAGAATAGGGAAGCGAATAGTGCGTATAGTGCGAATAGTCGACGAATAGTACGAATCATCCGCGAATAGTAGACGAATAGTACGAATAATCCGCCAATAGTCGACGAATAGTACGAATAGTCCGCGATTTAAATTAATAGGCAACGAATAGTGCAATAGAGACTTTGCAAGGCCTTGCACCAGTGCTGTAGACCTAAATTTACTGGAGCGGGGCGCGGGGGGGGTGGGGCTCTATTGACAAACATGAAATCGTGAAAACATTCGCTGACATCAATGACGTCGACGTCAGACGTAACCGGTAAAAATTACGGGAACCAATACGTATTTTAATAAACTGATTGTTGAATTATACATATTTCTTTTCAACCGACTATTAATGAACAATTTGTTTAAGGCCACCTTAAAGAAGCATAAGGATAAAGGCGCTTATACGTTAATTCGTACAAGGCGGTCGTATACTTAATCTGATAGAATACACTTGTTCTATATATCACTATAATGTTGTCATTATATAAGTCATTATATAATAACTACAGTGACTGCCTCGTCCCTCGTCGCTTCAGTTGGGAAAAGAGATCAGTGAAAAAACAATGGGAGCGCGGGGCTTAATGGGAATGCGATAAAACGGATAACGGATGAAGGATTGTGGAAGAGTCAGCTATAGTGAAACACGCAATTTGATTGGTCAATAGCCGTGCAGGATCTGCAGGCTATCCTGAACGAGGAATTAATATGCCTTCGCCGGATTTTCGCGGGATTCTCAAAATGTCATTGTTTCACTGTAGTTATTTGAATTACCAAATGGTTTTCCAAGCTGGATCACGTGATCCATGCACTTGGGAAACAGCTCGACTTTTGGAAAGCGTAAATATACACTCTCCACGGCTCCAGTATTTTTACGCTTTCTGAAAGCAGGGACATCGCTATAGGGAGGGGGCGGGGACACGCCAGTAATAATTCAAACGTTGGTCAAAGTTGGTCAAAATGGAATTGAAATTTGCTCAAAATTGATCAAAATGGAACTGATCTTTGCTTAATTAAATTCGAAGGTAAAACTCGGAAAAATGTGGTCAAAATTTGGGACAAAAGGTGGTCCAAGTTGCTCAAAGTTATGAAATGGTTTGCAATTTGAACAATTTTAAAGCTTTTGTTATGTTTGTAGCGAAAAATTGGAAGCCTTGCTTATTTTGGTCGGAAAATTTTGAATTTGCTTATGTTAGTCCGTAAAATTCTTTTTGACTATGCTTATGTTATTCCATGTTAAATCGAAAAAAACTTATACGACATTGTCAAATCCCTAGGAAATATTGGTCAAAACATTACCACACCACCCCTAATGTTGATGGCTTCGCGACGTCCCTGTCCGAAAGTCTCGCGCAGGGGCGTAGGAAGCATCAAAAGATTGCGGGGTGAAAAGGAAACATATACCTGCACGGAAAACCATTCCGTATTCCTTTATTATCAATGAGACTGATAGTTAACACGTTCTAAGGGCACTCCAACCTCTATAACTATGCTAAATCCTTCCTCCGGTCGAAGTCGCTTCCCTTAGGCCGCCATAAACAGTTTTCTTATGATGCTCAAACGAAATATGAAACCAAGAAACTGACAAAAATAGCAACTGCGTGCGCGTGCGCACGATCAAAGACGCAAATGTCCGATTTAGCAGGCTCATGTTTTGGCATGGAAGTTTGGATTTTATGCCTTCCATCTAGGCCACTATATCAGTCTAAAGGTTCGGGATTAGATTTTATGACTTCCATCTTGGCCATGACTATATCAGTTTAATGTTTTAAGTATATTAAATTTGGTGTGGTATGGAAGTTGTATGGAAGTGCATGAGTCAAACTAGAACTTGCAAAGGTAAGTGTTGCTCACGTGGATCTATATCTTGGTATATTCCAATGCATGACTAAAAACATGCAGTCATATCAATCAAAGTTTTTATCTTTGAAACCTATACCCTCATGCACCCCACACCCCCTTTTATATTACATCGCAAACTACTGTTTCGGTGATATTTTCTACCTGCATCACAGAGTAGAGACATGCAGAGACGTAACTAGTGTACCCACTTTTTTTTGTGCGCGTGCTCGGCAAGGTACTAGATGCACACATCTGATTGGATGACGACCTGGATGACGACTCACTTTAAACTTGCTGAGAACGCGCAGTAGATCATTTTTCTCCCGGTCGCCTGAAGAAAAGTGGGTACATGATAACGTAATCTTCTGCAGTGTTTACGACGGTCAGTTATACGTCTCTGTATGTCTCTATTCTGTGCCTGCATGGAAGAGTGCGAACGCTTCAGCAGACGTCTGCCTACTTGGATAGTTGGACAACTTAAGTGATTCTAGAAGGCGAATGGTTGAGTATATAGTTTGATCCACTGTACAAAAATCTGAAAATATTAATTAACCTTAACGCTAGTAGCCTACCAGAAAGGGACCCCTGTATAAGCCTGAATTGAACGTAAAACTGCACCTTAGACGTTTCGTAAAACGTTTCAAAATCAATTAATCCGCGAGATAATCGCCGATTAAATTTGTCTTTGAATGAAATCAGTTCATATCATACAATTCGCTCGTTTAATTTAATTCACACGGTAAATTATGATTTAAGAAACTTGCACCTACACTGAAATAAAGTGGAAAATAGTGTATATGGCAACAATTCTTTGAAAGTAGAAATGCATAAATTTGGAAGTCAGTGTTGAGACCACCCATACATACAATATGGCCACAAATGTAGGGCAACTACATGCATCCTGCCTTTATCCTGGGTGTAGATAACCGGAGTAATTAATATCCTCGCTCCGGGTTTACGTGGATGCATGTAGTTTGTCGGGTAACAACATTAACACACTAATAATAGTCAATTTATTTGAAAGCGTTATTTAATATTTTGAAATTAAAGGCTGAAGCAATACAACTACTAGCTAACGTGCACTCGTCCTATATTTAGTATATTTAGTTAAACGCGATTGTCCTTTATGCCACTACTGGTGTTCTAGAATTTAATTAAGGATTACGTATTTTGTGAACTGAGTGAGGCATATTTTGCATGGTAAAGTTTTATTAATAATTGCCAGTTGAAAGAAGGAATCCACCAAATTGAGTATATCGTCCCGATCCATATACAGCGTAGCTACTACCTCTCTCCAACCTCGCCCAGAATGTTTGGCCCTTTGTCAGAGTCACAAGAATGGTTTTCGTTAGCTGATCATAGTTTTTGTGGTTTGCATGGATATCACTGACAACACTGCTCCCTTTTATCAACCTAACGTAAGAGCTGTAGCCATTGTACTGAAGGTATGAGACAGTAAACTGGTACAAACCTGCAATAGGTGCAGTAAATTTGCCAGTGCTTGGGTTATAACCGTTTCCAATGTTCAGAGTAACGGCGTTAAATTTAATGGCCCCGCTGGCGTAGTTAGGTCCAATTCTACCTGTTGTCAGCGTTGCTTGGAAAGCAACTACAGTCTGAAATAAAGATTACAAAATTCTGCGTCAGTCCATAATCGATTGACTGATCAACTAGATAGTTATCTGGGGTTTTTTTCTAGAATCACAGTTTATACGTTGTGAACTAATATCCCAACCTGTCCATTATTGGAATTAGCTTAGTCGGCAATAGATAATAGAGGGTCTCCCAAAAGTCTCTAGAAAATAAGGTGCGCTTGCACATACCGCCAGTGAATTAACTATTAAGTTATGTATCATGCATAAATTGTACAACATGCTAATTACAGGCAACAGTTTTAACTCTGCCTGGCAAATCAAAACAACAGTTGCTAACCTCCACGTAAATTTATTACATGCATTCAGTGCTTTTCTTTCCTATATGAAATTGTGTGGTAAGTAAATAAATCTTCACAAACCTTTCCCTGGATACCAACACCATTTCCATTGATGATCAAGTCACGCATCCCGTGTCCGATATTAACCGTCAAACCTCCTTTCTAAATGCAAAAGTGAATTATTTGACACGTGTCATTTCAATAAGTGCCAAAGTACAAACACAGAATACTATATACACAGAACGCCATCTTCGTTATTTTTTCGTAAGCGCTATTCTTCATGATTTGTCACTCAGCAAGTACCGACCTAAACAAAAGTAATCACCAACAGGAAATGGCATGGCTTTGTCCCACGCAGCGCCATTTTGAATATTTCCAGGGGGTGACTACTTCTGTTTAGGGAATCATGGCGAATAGCACATATATTATAAGTAAATTGTCATAAATAAATTGTCATAATTTGTGAGAAAGATGTCACGCAGAACTACGTAGACCTGTACGAATATACAGACACGCAGACAATCACCAAGACCTGTTGACATATAGGCATGCACCTATACTATACTAATTTTGCAATTCATAAATAAGCTATATGCACATAATTCAGAAAAGGTTGTTATTTGAGACTCTAAACTAAAGCTTAAACCTTACACATTACAGATGGCGAGTGATGGAGTCAGCAGCCAGGTCTTGATTGAAATCAAGAACGGCAGTCAATGAAGTTTCACGTTCGGGTCTACGGGATTACAAACTTGAGCGGCTGTCTTTATTACTCGCCATCTATTAGAGGCTCAATTGATCTACTGTTGACGGTACGTGTTGTCAAAAACGTGACTAGGTACAAAAAGCTCTCTATACATCAATCTCGTTCCCAGATTATGCCTGTTCGCGGGTTAGGAAGTGGCATGAAACTACCTAGTTCGCGAACAGGCATACTCTGGGAACGAGATTTTCTATACACAACCTCGCTCCCAGGCTCTTCCCTCAGGGAAGAGAGGGAAAAGCCTGGGAACGAGGTTGTTCTATTCATTGATTTGAAACACAGAGTGTCACAGTTAAATGTCAAAATACCGCTTGCCGATACAGCCAATATCAACTATGGTCTGGATGGATTAAGTATTGCGCGTAGAGTTAATTTCGGTTAAAGAGGCTGTAAAGTCCGTTAACCGTTCTGCGCATCAGTTCTGCTCATAACAAAGGGGGACCTACAGATATAAACATTGCCCAAATTTTGCATGCATCTTTCTAACTTTTTTGAATTGAAACGTAGAGTTTATATTCATTTACAAGCATAGCGAACCACAAACGTGCATGTTAGATATTCAGCGGTTAGTATCATATTTTACAAATATAGCAGTTCAAAACGTAAACAAAATGTTTGTTTACGTTACGGACTTTACAGCATCTTTAAAGTGCCTATATCATGGTTTTGGATTTCGCATATCTCGAAGGTTTAGGGCATTTTAAGGCACTTTGTATCATTGCAACAAAATTGTCCTTTTGACGTCATGTCCGATAACTTTAAGTAAGAGTTAGATACCGAAAACGGAGGCTCTTAGTCAGATACAAACCCGAGGGGCCGTAGGCCCCGAGGGATTTATCTGACTAAGAGCCGACGTTTGAGGTATCTAACTAACTTAGTTCATATTTGTAAGGATTGACCCACAATGAAATTCACTTTATGATATGTATTGTTCTTTAAATGAGTTTGAATTACCATGGTTGTAATAAAAACAAACAGGGCTATTTTGATATGCATCAATTCTCGTGTCGCACTACTGTATACTATCAATGAGAAGTGATTAAATATTCGTTCACCAACCACAATTACGATGAAATATGTTTAAAATAGCTCATACAACCGAGAAGAGCTAACGAAGATTTGTACGGGTTTGTCGAAGCAGAGATTCTCAAGTTGTTCTCAACAGGGTTTTATTTGCAGGATAAAAACCAAATGGGAGGTCTTTCATTGAAATTCAAGACCGAGGGGTGCAGCACCGAGGCTTGAATTTCAATGAAAGACCGACCATTTTCTATTGTCCTTGGGAGGTTGTGGGACGAAATAAGGTTGAACATGCGCATTAAACACGCTTTAATGTGGTTGAGCATGCGTAGTATATCATTTCGCGTCCCACAAGCGAAAGAGCAGATATTACTGTATAAATTCCTTTCACAAGCAAGTTTGATGGTCGGTTCAGCTAGTCCTCGTGCACCGAATGATAAATATTCTACCCAAAGGTAGAGTTTGACGGGCTTTGAGGTACACGGCTGTTGTCTCTTTCTCGACTCAGAGACGTGCAGCGTTTTCTAGTCGAAAAGGAGATGTGGGTTTGAGTTTGGTTAAAAATTCAAGGTATCTAACTCCATAGTGACCTCCAAAAGGGGTCACTATGGAGTTAGATACCTTGCATTTTTAATTAGGCATTCAATTCTATTCATCAACCCCGTTTTTCCCTGTGGAGATATCAAATCCCTCCCCTTGCTTTTAGATTCTTACCCAAATAAAACCCTATTGAGAACAATAGATATCCGCACAAATATGAACTAAGAGCTAATAAATCCATCAAGATGAAATTTTTCAATAACAAAATATATTGCAAAGTGTCGTTAAAATACCCTAAACTTTCGAGATATGCAAACTCCAAAACCATGATATAGGCACTTTAAAGATTTACGTCTCGAAGGGCAACCTGTTTTGAATTAGCTGTATGTAAGAGTTATAAACCGAGTAGGAGGTTTATAACTGATATATTGACCCGAGGACGCGTAGCGTCCGAGGGGCAATATATCAGTTATAAACCGACTTACTCGGTTTATAACTAATATCACACTTGCGGAGGTTTTCCAACATATTTTGTCATTTTCAAAAATTTTTAATGAAAAATTCTCGTGTTTTGTCTACAAGTTTAATCCAATCATTTATTCAAGGTCTATAAGCTAGTTATAAACCTCGGACGAACAAAGAAAACCGACGCAAGTGTGATATAAGCGTTTATACAAGTCCGACCAGTAGAGCACCAATTTTAAACCAGAATATGTTTATAGTTTGAAATCTGTAAACTTCCTTACAAATACAAATCAGTAGGTATTATATCCCACGCCATGAAGACACACACTTAGTCTAGTCGGAACAATGAGTTTTTGAACATTAATAATTAAGACGAAATACACGGCATTGTCACTGCATGATGACACTATTCAAACTGTTGGCAGACTATAATCCAAAATTTTTTCGTTCTAGTCCCAGATCTAGACTTTAAGTAACACCAACTTACCGGGATACCAACGTTAACATTTCTCTTCTCTACTTCATCCGACACTGTCTTACTAACGACGTTACAGGCAACAAGATGCTCTGTGAGAACCAACACGAAGCCAAACAACACAAAACTGATAAAAGACATAGTCGGTGAACCTTCTTCTTCTACGGTGAATTTGCTGGAGAAAATAAAGCACAAAAATACACGTAACATGTTTATGAAAAATGAAGAACGATTAATACAGTTATTTATTTGTCGTGTTTATATAAATATTTAAGGCCGCCCCACATATCGATTTTTTCCACGAGAAACATCATATGATCGTTTGGTGCAGCTGTGACGTTTCTCTGTAAAACATCATGGAAAAATTCGATAGTTTTTCGGAAGCCTTAGTCCTTGTGTTGTGACCTCGAAAAGTGCCTAGAAAACGATTTTAATTAAGCATATCTTAGAACTGAAATATTTTAACGGGAACTAACACTTTCGAACACGCTGATCGAGTTCATGCAAATCACCGAAAAGTTCCCACTCCGTAGACCCCCAGTTTTCTCACAAACTGCTATTAACCGTTCTTCCTTTTAACAAAAGACCGGTCTTGCTCGAATCATTTTGAGTTATGCAATCTTATGCGTGAGTTGGACCATGGATAATAAAATAAATTTATTTTATTATCCATGGTTGGACGTAAACAACATATCTTGTCTACAACTTTGAGAAGCTACAGATAATTCCTTCTAATATCCTTAAGCCTGGCGGCCCTGGCGCACACGATGCGATTTTAGTTGGCCGATAAAAATCGTTTGGCTAAAACTAACAAAATCGTTGTGTGTGCGGTGTCATTTTTAACCGATTTTTGTTGCTCGATTTTAATCGGACAACATCAAAACGTTTTGAGGAGCGCTTCGTTTGTAAATCTAGATTTGGATTTTTAGGATTCTGATTCTTTGGATTCGTTAAACAAATGGAACGAATTGTGAGAATCGGAATCAGGCCTGCTGTTTTCCCGCCATTTTACAATAAGTTTTCTGTCCCACTATAGATTGTGGTCGGGTCAAGCTAGGTACATGCTAGGAGGCCAGAAGCTCAAAAGGAACGTTGAATCCTAATCAAGATTCAGATTGAATACGAAAAATCCATATGTTGAGGTGGATTCATCAGATTCGAATCTATTTTAAGATTTTGTTAAATGAAACTGAAAATCGATAATCGGATTTGAAAATCCAAATCCGGATTGCACTAAAGGAACGCACCCTTGATATTATACGATTTTTATCCGTGGAATTTTAAGTATAACCAATCTGATTTCATGCTGTGATCACATGCTTGTATTTATTTGGCAACATGGCGACTACAGTTCAGGGAGCGTATTTTTTTCGTAATCGTGTGCGGAGTATACCGATGTATATCGGTATGTCAAACGATTTTTATCGACCGACTAAAATCGCATCGTGTACGCCAGACTTCAGTTCTGGATTTATCTCTATAAATTAAATTTCAAGGACGTTAATTTTAAGTCTTTCAGCTACTGATGTCTCTGGACTGAGAAACTGAATTGCTTACGTGCGATCAAAACGTTTTATACAACGAACAGTTATCTATATGTAATGGATCAGCATTTTAAATTTACAACACAGTTTTTGAGATGTAATTCAAGAGATAACTTATCATTGCATTTGAACTATTACATCAGTTGGTGTTATACTGTGCGATAAGCGAATATTTGATTGGAAAGAGGGCTTCCACATACATTGAAATCACCAAATAAACAGCTCATGCACGCATTTCTCCACTTCGTCGTAAGTTTACAGAGCATATTTTATACTTTGGGACTGATCTTTGTCTTTGACTTTGATGTGAACATTTATTCTTATAGGCTAGTTTAAGGTTATTTAAGATTGATTCGAAAGCGCATTAATGTCCTTGTGATTTTATAGAGATACCTCTAGAACTGAGGATATTAGAAAGCGTTATCTGTACTTTCTCAAAGTTGTAGACAAGATATAATGTTGTTTACGTCCAGCACGCATTAGATTGCATAACTCAAAATGATTCGAGCAAATTAAAACCGGTCTTTTGGTAAAAGGAAGACTGGTTAATAGAAACTGGTCCTTTTGAGTGACATAATCGGTCCGATCGGAACAATGAAAAGTATGTCGTGAAATTAATTATTGAAGATAAAATCGCATTTTGTGAGAAAACTGCGGGTCAACGGAGTGGGAACTTTTCGGATTTAAAACTCAGCGTGCTAGAAAGTTGTATCACAATTAATATACCTATTAACCGTGTTTGTATATAACCACTTATATAATCGTTATCATCAATTTGAATATCTCCAGCGGCTTTGTCACCTACTGCAGTACTGGTGTTAGAACAGTTGGAGATTTACGGCGATAAATTTATTCTCAATATAATCCACAACAACAGTGTGATAGTTCAGTAATTATTATTATACCCTAGGTTATACTATTATAGTTATTATTACCTGCCTCATTTCGCTACGGACTCATATGGGCATGCTTAACATATGAATTATAATATAGATCAAACATATTTTTTCACCACTAAATTATGCATTTGAGTGAAGAAAACATTCACTATACACATGCAGCTACAATAATAATTAAGAAGACAGTTCCGTGGCCGGTATGTAGTATCAGTAATGAGACTCGTGCATGAAGGGGTCAATAAAATGGGTATATACGTATGTAGCATATATTCTCACTGGGAAATTTGAAATTGGATCACTAAGAATGGGATTTGTACCATTTGTAAGAGCAATGTTACTGTTGAGAATGGAATTTGGCAAATGATTGGTTCAATTGTCTGGCATTCAGACGATATTTTGGATGAAAAAAGGGATTGAACACCAGCTCCCATTTCATGTCCCTCAGTAAAAACATAGTTCTGCACAGTGACAGAGTGCAAGTCCAGGTGCACGGTTTTTAATAATTGTGACATAAAAAATGCTTCAATATTCTTGCGGTCCTTCGCTGATGTCGGAGAAGTCAATGTAAGTCTTGGCAATTTATTTTCGAGACAATCCAATATGGTGAGTGGTTAGATTTGTCAAAGAAATCTGTCATTTGACTTCTGAAAAACACTTATTATCGAATTTAGATTTTAAGACGCGGCTTTACTGGTTCATAGATTATGTATACTCCTATACAGTACATGCATCTATATATGGTAAGCTGTAAAACATGGAATCTGGAATCTTGGAATCCTGGAATCTTGGAATCCTGGAATCTTATCATATAACCGCAAAGTATGTTATTATCAAGATATTATTATTATACTTGTTCTGCATGCGATAATTTAATCAGAGGCAGGCTTGGTAATATATTATAAGTATATACTATACGTTGCAGAGTTTAGTATGTCTATCTTGATGCCAATGCATAATAATGTAAACACTGTGCGCGCATCTAAATAATATCGTCGGTTTATGATGAGAGTTAAAATCAAGTGCGTAGCAAGATGACCAGGCGGGAGGCAACTAAGGAAACGATATACAGTATAGATATCATTGCAATCAGGAAAACCTTAATTAAATAGATGCACTATAACACCTTGTATTCCGTCAAAAAATACCACACTTGCGAACAATTGCCGAGTTCATATAGTCTATTATCAACGAATTAAGGTTATATACCACGTGCTGTATAACTCACATAGTATGAGCCTCATAAACCACGTGCTATTATAGGCTTAGTTCGTTGAATATAGACTATATGAACTCGGCAATTGTTCGCAAGTGAAGTGTGCTATTTTTTGACGGAATTCGAGGTGTTATGGTGCATCTAATTGAGGTTTTCCTGATTGCAATGATATATATATATATATATATATATATATATATATATATATATATATATATATACCTTAATTAATTAGATGCACTATAACACCTTGTATTCCGTCAAAAAATACCACACTTGCGAACAATTGCCGAGTTTATATATAGTCTATTATCAACGAATTAAGGTTATATACCACGTGCGAGAGGAAACTAAAGAAACCATATACAGTATATATATATATATATATATATATATATATATATATATATATATATATATATATATATATATATATATATATGTACTGTATATGGTTTCTTTAGTAACCTTTAGTACGTGGTATATAACCTTAATTCGTTGATAATAGACTATATATGAACTCGGCAATTGTTCGCAAGTGTGGTATTTTTTGACGGAATACAAGGTGTTATAGTGCATCTAATTAATTAAGGTTTTCCTGATTGCAATGATATCTATACTGTATATCGTTTCTTTAGTTGCCTCCCGCCTGGTCATCTTGCTACGCACTTGATTTTAACTCTCATCATAAACCGACGATATTATTTCTGAGATGCGCGCACAGCGTTTAGCCTACATTATTATGTATTGGCATCAAGATAGACATACTAAACTCTGCAACATGTATACACTTATAATATATTACCAAGGTCTGCTTCTGATTAAATTATCGCATGCAGAACAATATGTTGCATAAGTATAATAATAATATCTTGATAATAACATATTTTGCGGTTATATGATAAGATTCCAGGATTCCAAGATTCCAGGATTCCAAGATTCCAAGATTCCAAGATTCCAGATTCCAGATTCCATGTTTTACAGCTTACCATCTATATATAGTTGTTTTTTGAGGAAATGACAAACATAAATAAATAAATACATCTTGGCTCGCCCCATATTCCGTTTCTTTTCCTTTTCAAAGGATTTTTTTATGTTGCAGAAGGTCCATACTTCTATTCGAGCTTAAGATATAGCAATTTTTTATAAGAGCGCGCTGACCCACCTGTCGAGAATAGATCAATTATGTTATTAGTTTCTATCCGTTCAAACCGCGCACTTATATATAAAACAGATCAACTTAAAGCCCGTTGAAAGGAACCAAATAAAACTGTATAGGAATCAAACAGTATACCGCATCAATTAGTTTGATAGTCAGTAGCATGCAACTTACCAAATCAATTTTCTCTGAGAGGTTAATTTCCCCAAATTAATATTTTCTTCGAGTTGCTCTCGCTACCGGAAAGTGCCTCACAACTGACAAGAAAATGTGTTTTGTCATAGTTTGATATTTTTTGCATAAACGGAAGATTGTCTATTGCTATATACTACGAGATGAGATAACTTAATCTTTATAGGCAGGTCCAGATTTAACCATGACGATATCGCTATATGATTTTAGTTAAGCTAGCAACTACGCAGGTTCATATCTTCGTAAAATTCAGTAAAATCATCAAAGTCCAAAAATTTTTGCGAAATAAGTTTTCAGCTTCATAAAGAGGTTCCTGAAACGGAAGGACACGAGGGACAAAAATTTATTTTCAACATAATGTCCACAACAACAAACATGCGACTAGTCACAATTCAAAGCGCTCCACATCTTCTTCAAATTCACAACAACTAAACGGCGTTAATGACGAGAAAAGATTAAAATCTGCTTTATACATTCAAGAAAGCGAATTATTTTGGAAGGGAGGCTATAATGACCTACAGGTGTTGATTAAAAGAGACCTCAATCTGAGTGGGAAATGGCTTTCATCCGGCGGGGAGTCTAAAGAGTTTATTCATCGCGATTTTGTTTTGAAATGGCAAGGGAAATCAAAACAACGATTAATTGTGGTGAAAGATGACCAAGAGAGCTATCTTACAAATGAGCTAAAACTCTATGCCAGCGAAATGGACGACGAAAATACTTGTTTTGACAGCGAAGCGAGCGAAGATGAACTGGTCGAACACGTGGTCGCGGAAATTATCGATCAAGATAAAAATAATACATCCTGCCAAAATAAAGATCATAATCAGGTAGACTTAAATAAAATAATGACTATGATATCTGAAATAAAAGAAACACACGAGAAAGAAATGCAAAATGCTATTGTGCAAGTGGCTAAATCCGAAGCGGCTAATAAAGCTTTAGTTGAAGGACAATCCAAGATGGCGGCCGAAATACGAAAATTGAAATCAACCGTGGAAGAACTTGAAAATGAGAACAAATGTATAAAAATAGTACTGGATATCAAGCAAGACGAATGGCAAAAGGTCCAAACGAAAAAGGCCTCAAGTCTAAAAAAGAATGAACAGAAATTTAAACTTTCTGTGCAAAATAGCTACACAGGACTTGAAATTGAAGACAGTCAATTTACAAGTTTCCCAGAGATTGTAGAAATCGACGAGCAAGATTGAAAGGGCTACTGGACACAGGTCGGTCTGTCACTCATACAGTGGAGCCAGAGTGAAACAGATAGAAGAGAAGATAAAGAATGATGGTGATGGACAATATGATAGTGTCATCCTACATGTTGGCACAAATGACTTGGCCCATGGTGATGCTAACAAAGTGGCAAAGGATATGGATGATCTTATCAATGAGGTGAAAACCCACACAAAGAAGATTGCTGTCTCTAATGTCATTATGAGGTATGATGGTAGAGTCCATTCTAATAAAATAGAACAGTATAACAAATTATTAGAAAACTTATGTCTTAAGCATAATGTTACGCTCATAAAAAACAATAACATAGATGAGTCTCGACTAAATGGCTCAAAACTGCACCTAAACTGATTTGGCGATATAGCACTTGGCAGTGCTTTCTGCTCTTATCTGAGATCGCTTAGAGTTAGAGCTAGAACCCCTGGTACTCTGCAGGGTTCTGTAGATAGTAGGAATGACCATTTTTTATCCAAAGTTTATGGTCATCGGGCCAGAGAGTGGACAATTCACCTGAACCGTGTCAGGCGAATGATGACATGATACCTAGTGTAGGTAATTCTAATAATGTAAGCAGCAATTTTCACACCTGTCTCAGCTCTATCCCTAAAGAAAGAGATTTTAAAATGGCTTTTCTAAATGTTGTTAGCTTACCCAAAAAAATTGATGAAATAAGATATTCAATGTCAAGCAAGAACATTGACTTAATTGCTTTCAATGAGACACGACTTGATTCAAGTATAAGTGATAATATACTTCACTTGAATGATTATGATATAATTAGGAAAGACAGATCAAGAAATGGGGGTGGAGTATGTATCTACTTGCGTAGCTCCATAAACTACAACATAAGAAATGATCTGATTCCCACTGAACTAGAGGCTGTTTGCATAGAAATTATCAAACCACATAGCAAACCATTTCTAGTCACAACAGTCTACAGACCACCCAATGCATCAGCAGATTTCTTTGAGCATTTTGAAAACTTAATCAAAACTTTCGATGACGAAAATAAAGAATTCTATATTCTTGGTGATTTAAATTGTGATATGTTAAAGACAGGTAATGAAAATATGCCGATAAAGAAAATTAAATCTTTATATGAATTGTATCAATTATCACAATTAATTCAGGAAGCTACCCGAGTAACGATGACAACCTCCACCCTTATTGACCACATAATAGCTAATACTCCAGAAAAAGTTTCTGATTCTGGTGTTATCCATACTGGAATAAGTGACCATAGCTTAGTTTTTGCAATTAGAAAGATCTCTGTTATCAAGAAACTAGAAAACACAATTGAAATTAGAAATATGAAGAAATTTGATACCCAAAAATTTGTTGCGGATCTGATGCAACAACAGTGGGAAAATGTGTATTTTTTAGCTGAAACTCCAAATGCAAAGTGGGAAATTTGGAAAATGCTATTCTTAGAAGTTTTAGACAAACATGCACCCCTTCAAAACAAAAAGATCAGAACAAGACGAGTCCCTTGGATTACAAGTTCCATAAAAGAACTTATTAATACAAGGGACAAAATTAAAAGAAAAGCCATTATTACGAACCTCGAAAATGATTGGTTAAGTTATCAAAGAACTAGGAATAAAGTAAATATAGAACTAAGAAATGCCAAAAAAGATTACTATTCCACGAAAATTGCTGGTGATAAGTCTAATCCTAAGGAAGCTTGGAAGACCATAAACAGTTTATTGGGAAGGCAAAACAAACCAACAATCGTAAATGAGCTAAAACTTGGCGAAAATAGTTTAACTAACCCGAAAGATATTGCAGAGGGTTTTAATGATTATTTTTCAAATATTGGCCCAAATTTAGCTAGCCAAATTAATACTTTAAATTTGAACTTTGAAACATATGTCAAAAATACTGAATCAGAATTTACCGCATTCCAACCTGTCACGGTCAATCACGTCTACCAACTTCTGACTGGTCTCTCAAGCAACAAAGCCACAGGTGTCGACAAAATTTCTTGCAAAATTATTAAGATTGCTTCACTTGCTATTTCAGATTCACTAACACATATTTTTAATCAGGCCATTATAATACTCTGTCCTCATTCCCTGATGAATGGAAAATGGCTAGAGTAATACCTATATTCAAAAATGGCCAACGTAATGTGGCAGGAAATTACAGACCAATTTCTGTCCTGCCAGCCATTAGCAAAATTATAGAAAAAATTCTGTATAATCAACTGTACAGTTACTTATCCAAATATAGACTTTTAAGTGACAGCCAATTTGGTTTTCGAAAATTT